AATATAATAATAGACAAAGACCTTCTCAAAAGTAGCAGCCTCGGTGCATGCTTTCCTTGAAGGCAGACAAAGCATGAAGCTCACTGAGTAGATTCTCAAAATAGTAGTTGTTGGGTCCCTGCTAGGAGGCATAAAATGAAATCTTTCTCTCTACAGAAAGAAGAGTGGGAAGTTGAAGACATCCTACAAACGGGAGTACATAAACTTAGGCTGCAACATTGACGTTGACCTTTCTGGACCAACCATCAATGGCTGGGCTGTGCTAGGCTATGAAGGATGGCTTGCTGGCTATCAGATGGCTTTTGATACCGCCAAATCTAAACTGTCACAAAATAACTTTGCATTGGGATACAAGGCAGGAGACTTCCAGCTGCACACTAACGTGTAAGTATTGGCTGAGCCTGGCAAAAGGCTCATATCAAAGATGCTGAAACTGGGCAAACTGCAAGGACTGCATCGGACATAGGTTAGATGGTGGGAGAGAGGGAAGACGCCAGTTGCTGGCTTGTAAGAGAGTCCTGCTTTCTTTTCATTCCCAATCCCATTGAAGCAAGGTTGTGTCCTGATTTGTCATCCCTTGAGGCTTGGTTTCCAAGTGATGCAGTTCTCCTAGGTACAGTGGTGGAAGGCATTTTCAAACAGAGCTAGCCCTTGTTCTGGATGGCAGTGTCAGTAGACCTTGACAGATACAGAATGTACTTGCTAGTGGGTGGTGCTCCACCCCAAGGAGCCAGGCCCTGCAGTGAGGTACCCTCTGCCACACAGGAGACTGCCAGGATCATAACCACCCAGGAGTCCTGCAGCATATCTGCTCTTCTCCAAGCTGGTGTTACGCTTGAACAGCATGCCTGTCTTGGAGGAGGTGGAATGCTTTGGCTTTGCTCTGCGGAGTCATCTCTGTTTCTTGCAGTTTGTGTTCAAGGCAGGGATTTTTTTTGTGAGAGAATTGTTTCAATTCTCTCACTTCCAGTTTCCTCACCGAACTGGTGATGCCTGTCCTGTTGCTGCTTGTGGACTCTTCTTTTATGCTTGGCATCACTCCCTACTTGCAGCTTGGGAAGAGAAAGCAGAGTTACTTTACCTGCTTTGTCAAGAGTCCAGGACCATGTGTGATATGTCAGCTTTTGGAAAGTCTCCCCCATTTCCTTGGCAGACTCCAGATTTTAGGGCTGGGAGCCTACAGGGCCAGGGTGAGGACTCCATTTGTGAGACAGTGGGAATTAAGACTTGGAGGAGGGGGAAATACAGCGATGGTGAGGGAGTGTTGCTAGGAAATTTCTTTGAAATGGGAAGAGATGAGATGCCCTGTGATGATCTGAGAATTAATATGACCACGCAGAGTGGTTAGTCACATGTTTTTACCTGTTAACAGGAACGATGGTACTGAATTTGGTGGCTCTATCTATCAGAAGGTTAATGATAAGGTTGAGACATCAGTAAATCTTGCCTGGACTGCTGGCAGTAACAATACACGCTTTGGCATTGCCGCTAAGTACCAGCTGGATGAAAAGACTTCTGTTGCGGTAAGAAGTTTACCAAGGGAACAATTGCAATACAATTTGTGTGTCTTAAATATTGTGAACTAGCAGCACAGATTGGTGACTCTTTGAACTGGCAGGACCTTGTGATTTTACAGGTTCAGTTATTGGTGCTATCTTGCAAATGTTATAGTGCACTGTTAGCTTGACTTTGTTACTGGATTGCTCATACTACTACGAAAACTGTGTTGCCTTGTATTAACTTGAATAGCTTTTCAAGAAAGGGAGTCTCGTAGGCTTGGTACTAAAGCGCATGGAATTCCCTCAGCTGCTTCTCTTACTGTCCTGCACACAAGGCTCAGGGTCAGCATGCAGTCATGTACCACCAGTACAGTATGGATAAATCGGGCAGCAGCATTTAGGTTTTTTTTTAGGCTGTGACCATCATTAATATCCGAGAAAAACAAAGCATGATGTCATAGAACCAGTCTTATGTACTATATTGTTCCAATTTTAGGTTGTCCCATCTTAAGTTTCGTATCACATTAATGAAGGGGGCACTAGGGTTTCTTAGGATGTCAATGTGCCTGCATGGCTATAAATCAAGTAAGAGCAAGATTAAAATTCACCTTTTTGACTTTGTACCTTTTGGCTAATTTTCCTGTAGGCCAAAGTGAATAATGCCAGCCTGATTGGACTTGGGTACACTCACACCCTTCGACCTGGTATGTAAACTGAGAAGTGTTATAGGGAATTGCTCCAGAGGGGCGTAATACTGTAACCTCTACAACTATAGAGTTGAGTGGGTGGGTAAGACCGTGAAAATTATTGGGACACGGAAAGAATTCTAAGTCCTGGTGGAACTACCTCCCATCCCTGCCGATCGTACCACTGTTTTGTGGAGCTGCAGAGTGGTCCTGTCACGGACACAATATCCAACATGCTGTTGCTTGTTTGGCATAAGTCATTGCCAAAAGACTGAGGCGCTTTGCCAGAGCTGCTTAGGCGTGATCTGCTCCTCCGCACCTCTGTTGAGAGTTGTCACCAGGAGCTGCTCCAGACTGTTTTATTTATACTGTTTTTATTTGTACTTTGAAAACACTGTCAAAGTCTGTCTGTTTCTCCAGGTGTGAAGCTGACGCTCTCCGGCTTGGTCGATGGCAAGAATTTCAGTGCCGGAGGTCACAAGGTTGGGCTGGGGTTTGAGCTGGAAGTTTAATGCAGTTTTCAGTGACGCAGCAGATCTGTTTCAGGAGATGAAGGAAAAACAACCCCAACATATTTTGGCCTTAATATTCTGTGAAATTTTAAAAAGTGTGAACTTTTTATTCTTCCAAAGAATTGTTGTAACTCAACACTGGAGTCTAGTGGGTGAAAATTCACCATAACAGGAGAAGGCATGTATGGAAGTTGTGATGTTTATGCCACATTTACTTTCAGTTCCTCGGTGTTTTAAAATTTGTTCCTCGCAGAGGGTAGCATCTTGTTGAGACAGAAAAATCCAGCCCTGCCCATAAGCACATCACGTATTGCATGTCCTGAACCTCACCACCTTTTATAAAATTGGTCTCTGTGCTGTAGTGTAAACTTTGATTTTGCATCAAAGTGAAATAAATCAGTCATTTGAAAAGTATCTCCGTGGTGTGTCCTGTTACTGCTTTAGCACTGGTTGTCAAAGGCTTTATTAGTTTGGAGGCATTAAAAATCTACCTGGCCAAGTTGGCATGCAGCCATTGCTGGGTAGTTTTATTGAGCTTGTTATTACCATAAGCAATTAAATGAGTGAAGATGATAAAAGTAACATGAGGACTATAAAAGTCCACTGGTGATGATGAGTATGTATGCATCTTGCCAAGCTGGGATTTTTCCATTCCTTCCCCACTCCTTTCTGTGTAGTCTGGTTTCGAGCGGCACTGCCTCTAAGCCCTGGAGAGACTTGTGTAAGCATTACAATAAAAATGGTGGTTACAGTGGTGTAGACACAATGCTCCAGAGATATGCAAGACTGAAGCAGATATTATCTTTTATTGGACTAGCTTGAATAGTATGGAGATATCTGGGCCATCTTTACAGTTTTCAGACTGTATGCGCTCTTCATCTCTGGGAAAGAAGCTGTCAGTTCGAAAAGGCAGCACAAACCAAAGTGAGCAGAAGAGGTGAAAGGTAAGTGATAAGGAGTCCTGACGCACTGGGCCTGTTAAATCCCTGCGTTTTGGTATTAAGTGAAGTTAGAAATTTCTGTTCTTAGCCCTGTCTGGTGAAAGCCTCAGGTGTCTCGCTTGTAAAAAATAGGTATAAATATTTATTTGCATCCTGTAGGGTTGAGAGATTTAGGGAAGTACAGAAAACAGCTGTGTATGGAGGAGTCGATATGAGAATAATTGCCAGCTGCTTTGCAAGCCTGCACACTAATGAACGTATTCATTTTAAAATGAATGAATGTTTATTTCACTTAGTGGCGATGGCAGGCAAGTGCTGAGAGGGAACATTGCAGCCAGTTCACAGTATGCTGCAAGGGTTCAGGGTAAGTAAGGAAAACTCTTAGGAAACTGATACAGTTCTTTGCCAAGTCCTTTTCCCTTCTAACAGCCCCGATTCTAACATATTTAGGCAGGAATG